CTCTCATACATCGTCTTGTACTTTTCTTGCTGCATGAGTAATTAATTAGGGTAGTGTTGTTCTAGGGCTCTTGGCATCCTAAGAGGCCTGAAATGCAGTCAACAGACAAATAAACATAAGAAAATTCAAAGGAAAAAATTAATGTACCTTTCGCTCAATTATGGAGTAAAAGTATAATACTCATACGTCTTGCCATATGAACAATAAGGTAGCATAATTTTGTTCAGGGCTCTCTCAGTCAGCTTGGGCTCCTTGTGGAAGAACTTGACAATGTTACCAAGTTATTATTATTATTACTGTCATTTTCAGTATCATTATCATTAATATTGTCACTTAAACGAAGGGATTCCTCGCAACTAATAATTATTACCACCATTTTAAATCGCCTGTCCACATGTTTTTCTTTTTCTTTTCGACAATTCCCTACCCACACTCCCTTGCACTCGAAGTCATTGAATCCCCCACGTTTTTAACACATGCTAGACTATCTCTAAAGAAAAAATAGAGGGACTGTGAAGAGGATATCATTTTAATCAAGCCTACGTCTGCTTGCACAGACAAACGCTCGCTGATTCCGCAGGGGAAAATTGGCCTTAATGTTAAACTGCAGCAAGAAAGTAGCCCTGCCACAAAGCAGTTGAGCTGAAAAGAGACTGGCAGCCGCAGCTTTAAAGCAGAACTCCCATTTTCAACAGTAACCACTACAGCATTGGCACAACCATCAAGAAGTCAGTACGATGAAGCGTTCAATGATGCTGCCAGTAGATACAATGAATACTGCAAAATAATAATGGAGGTGGAGGACTCTGATATGCAAGAAGCGATATTGCAATCTTCCACCAACAACAGCAATGAGGACAGGTAAGCCTTTCAGAAAGTAATACTTAAATAGAAAATCTAGAGACTTCTTATAAGAATTCGAATTTGAATTCGAATTTGAAGAATTCGCGGACTGACACGTTTCGGAAAAGCCCTAAATTTAATCATTCCTAAGCTGTCTTCGCAAAACATGCGTCGTTTCGATCACGCAACGATTCTTAGTCCCAGTTTCTTCGGTCTCTGCAAGGAACGCCTGGCACAATGACCTGCCTTTTGTGCCCCAAATAATATAAGGGACTACCCCACCCCCAACCCCCGGGGCGAAAAATGCGTTGCAGATTATGAGTCTTGCTGCTTGTGCAAGCGAGACTAATAACATTGGTTACCTACACTGATTGTGTGGGCGTCCTGTGGTAGTTTGCGCATCGACGAACTTATCATGGTTTGGAACTTGCGTAGGTGCCTGCTCTTGAGCATCTTTGCACTGCTCATTACAGAAGGACCAGAGTAACACGATTGAACCTTTATCTCCCTAGCCCCTGGTCTGTCCCTGGCAGGTCTATTCCGTGCTTTGACACGCGCATAAACGTTCCAGTGCCCACTTTATAATTGCTAAAAAGAGGGCAAAAGAACCATATTTTACGTCGACAACATGTCACAGCCCACCCTTGCCTCTCCATCAATGCTCCGTTTTAAGGGTATTAAAAGCTAGTCAAAGCTACACAGAAGGGAGAGAGTTGAAACAGGGATGTCATCGGGGATCGAATTCGGGACCTCGCGCACCAAAGCCCGTGCACTAACCAGCTGTGTTACCCTTGCTGATTACTTGAGTTGAAATACAATAATAACAATAATAATAATAATAATAATAATAATAATAATAATAATAATAATAATAATAATTGTCAGAGACGCACAGAGTGTGTGTCATGTTTACATAATGCACCTATCAATGGTTTGCCTCAGGATGGGGGGCCGGGCAACCCACGGTAATTAGACTTCCTAAAGCGCACGTGGGTGGGGATTTTGACATCCACAACGGTCCCCAGGGTGGGAATTTGACTCGACCGCCATCTTGAAAAGTGGAGAGGACCTGGGAATGAGTGAGTGGTCCGCCATCTTGGAAATACCTAAGTCATTTGAGCGAGTTTCCCGCGTCAAAGGATGGCTGAACGAAAAGTAAGGAGTATCGTGTTGCTTTTTTTAAGCAAAAATGTTTTTTATGCCCATCAGTGCTCTGTCTTTCAAGTTCTAATAACATAAAATATTTTTCCTTCAGCTTTGAGAAGAAATATTCGCACAAGAGCTCATTTAGATCAAAATTTACTTCCTACTTACCTGTCTTCAAAGGATACCGCCCTGCCTCAAGTTTTCGTTACTCTCTGTGTTTATAGATTTGCTAGTATACTCCAAATGTTAAATTAAATGAAATTCTGGTCAATTCTGGACCTCACTGTTACAAACATCAGTTGGATGAAAGCGGAATATGACCTATTCCAGGCGTGACATAGAAGATGAATCCAGAAACCTGTGCCAAATCTCACCAAACAATGACAAGTAGTGCTTTATTAAATAATCCTATTTTTTGATACTTTCTATGTCAATTTTTTAATAATTCTACCCTAAGATATTCTTTTCTACAAGAAATACAATTTGGATTGTTTTGAGAGGATCTTGTTTAATCGTTGTTTGTTCAAATCAGTGTTCTGCAGCTTTTGATGTAGTGCTACTTTGTTCCAGGTTCTGGTTGAGTTTGGCGAAAGCCGTAAAGTTGTCTCTCTAAAAGAGGGAAACTCTATGGTTAAACTAATAAAGGATGCATTTAGAATTGAAGGCGAAATCTTGTTACAGAAGTTTGACAAAAAGTGGCAAGAATTTATTGATCTTGAAGGGAATGCTGTTGTAGAAGATAAGGCAAAGTTGCGTGTCAAAGGTGTGCAATATGTGATAGGATTTGAATATCTAGCTATTCTTGTAGTTGATTTATAAAATCTGTATGATTTTCTTTATTTGAATGGCTGAATTAAGGAATTAGCTCCAATCAGAGACAGTCACAATGAAAGGGCTGCCAAATTTCCAAATGATTTTAGAAAAATATTTACTCATTAAAATATAATTATGTGGTATTTTGCCCTCTGGCTTCAATACATCTCCTTTTTTCACATTAACTGGGCAGTACCACTTCTATTGTGTGACAAACGCTACTTAACTTTGTTTGCTGATATATACAGCCGTCAAGCCATGTCCCGGCTGTTCAACCCACTATATGTGCGACATCAACAACCACAGGTAATCAAATTTATTGACACCTTTCATACCAGACAAAAGCTTGAACATTTTTCTCTACTGTAGCTGTAAATAGATAGGTTTAGAAAATCTGTTATTCTTCTGCCACCTTCAACGATTTGCACACTTCCACACTTTCATGAATTTAGTAAAATAGAAGAAGGCTTATCAGGTATCTCCTAATGAAACAGAATAGATTACATATGCTAGTAGATGAAATAGTGCCATTACAGTAGTAGTGTTTATTTTTTTATATGTATAGTTTCTTCACGAAGTCAATCAACACTTGTCATAAGCAATGGCAAGATAGCGATTGGCCCCAAAGTAAAGGTCAGTGATCCTTGTGAGTGTATTTTGTTCAATGGTAGTCTGGTTCAGTAATTTTATGGTTAATGAAGGAAATAACGCCCATGCCTGTCTGAAGCAAGCAATTACTAATGCTAACATCCCATTGTTATAAATTCAGCACTTTGATTTAATATTAATAGTTTATTTTACTGAATCATGATTAATATTCATACATGACTGTAAAGGACCTGTTTTCTCCTGCCATCAATATATATTGGTTTATATATTGAATTGGAATATAAGTACAACAGATTTTAACATAGAAAATCACCTTCAAGGGGCATCCTCCTCCATGTTTCAGGATTAACAGACCAATAATATTGTATACATTTGGTATTTATTTTGATACATTGAATTTTTGCATGGAGAAGCAAACGGGAAAAACAAAAATATCCATAAACTATTCATTTGTCAATACTGATGGCTATTTTGTTCTGTTGCTCTTATGCTGGGACTCTAGTTGTACTGTAACAAGAAAAATATTTTCTCATCAAAATTGGTTAAAATGTGAAAATGAAGTGACTGATTGTCTTTTAATAGATAGTTCATTTTGTTTGTCACAAAGGTCACTGGACAGAGTACAAAAAATAGTCAACAGGTGATCAGTGCAGCCATGATTTATGGAAAGGGCTCATCAGACAAGGTGTTAACACCCTACCAGATTTCAGTAAATGAGGCTGCAGGTAAACTGGCTCTTGAGAATCCTTCCCTGCTTGACCAAAGGGGTATCCTGTGTGAGAAAGCTAAAGAGGCAGTAAGGGGTGATAGTTACTTCGGTTTAAGAAAGGAAAATCCCGATCAAAATCAGTTGAAGCAGTAGAGCCAGTACCATCCAAGAAACAATATACCTCGGACACATTCAGAAAGGAAGTTTTTGAGGCCCAGAAAGAGCTGAAGTTGTTTCAAAGAAAAGAAAAGAAGTCCAAGTGGTACAAAAAAAAGGCAAAGTAAAGCACTGGTGTCACAGTTTCGAATCAGGCCTCTGTTGACGTTTACAGGAAAGGAACCAACAATAAAAAGATGAATCTCAATCAGGCCCATGTGGTTCTAGGGCAAGAAAACTGTAAAGCTACACAGCCCGGCAGTCCTTCCATGGTTCCTGTGGCTCTAGGACAAGAAAGCAGTAGTCCTCATGTACCAGTGGCTTCAGGACAAGAGACTTTGAAGGCTACACAGCCCAGTAACAGTCCTCAAGTTTCTGTGGCATCTGAGCAGGATCTTGTGGAAAGCCTTCTCAGGATCTGTTGAGGGAGCCTGACAGTGACGTTATTTTGTTAAAGAGTTTTAAAGATTTTTGTTCCTGTGTTAGAGTTGATGATTTTACTGACATTTCTGCATTACAAGGATTTACTTTAGAGAGTTACGTTGCCACAAAGGAAAAAATATGCATTGCAGAACATACCCAACCTTATAAATTGTGTACTGGATTGTTAATAGTTGCAAAACGAATTGCTGATGATGGGTACATTAGATTAAATGAAGCATTCTCAAAATCCAGCCCCGGTGTGAAGTATAAATCAACACATGCCAAAAGAAAACTTCTTCAAATGCCTCTCGCTACTATCAGAATAAAAGACAAAAATAACCATGCAGTTTTCCTTGTTCCAATAGAAAGCAATTTAGAATTAGCTCGAAGCCTCTTGTCAAGATTGGACAGTGAATTAGACATCTTTGGTAAAGAGCATGTCAAGAAAAGTGCAATGCCTATTAAAGACGTTTTAGCAGCTGCCGAGTCAGATGAAGAGAGGGAAAGGATTACCTATGCTGTTGCTGCAGCATCTGGGCAAAGCAATACAAAGTTAAGAAGTATCTATGGTTTTGAAGATATACAGAGAAGAAAGGAAAGAGTAGAAAATGCTTTAAGAGAAGCAAGAGAAATCAGGGAAGCGGTAGACTCCATTGCAAGTATTCAAGAAAAAGCTGTACTGTCATCATTCGATGTTCAAGTTGACAGTGATGATAGTGATGAGGATGAAGAAAGTGAAACTGATACAGAAAATGAGGAGGGAGACAATAATAGGGAGTCACGAGAGGATGACCCAGTGAATGGCACGAATGGAGATTCAGTGGTAATTGACATAACTCATCAGTTTTCTCTCAGCAAGCAAATAACGGATACAGGATCAGTGTATCAGAATTCTCAAGAACTGATGGACCTACTAAGAGCCTGTGAACTTAACTGGTTTCTTTTTGTTGCAGTTATTGAACAGAAGTTAAGCGGCTACACCAAAGCTGCCATAGATCAGATCCTCTTAGACTTCAGTGGCCAAATCCAGTTGCTTAAGTTGAATGAAAGGGAAGAGTCTATTATAGAACAGAGCAGACTGGCATATCTTCTTTCAGAAAGACTACAAGGAAACCAGTCAGATGTGGATGATGATGCCATCGGATCTGAAACTGAAGAAAGTGGTGCAGATTGGGGAAACATTCATGATCCCGTACAACCTGAGGCACGTGACATTATCTCCCAAAAGGTAAAGCAGTTTAAAAGAAATGCAAGACGAAAAGCAGCCCAGAGGATAGCAGAGGCTAGGTTTCTGAGACGAAAGAGAGGGAAAAATGTTGGAAAAATTCTCAGAGTGCCCAGATATTGGTTCCACCATTGAGAATTATGTGAAGAGTGTTGGAGTAGGAGCTGACAGCTGGAGAAGAACTGGGATTCTTACATTTGATGGAAATCGGAAAGTTGAAAAAAAAAGCAACTTTCAGTAGAACAAAAGAGCACTTGGAACGAGTTTACCAAAGAAAGTTTGGATATGGAACTGTGGTACAACTTTGTGTTGCAAGAAATATGTCTGCCAGTCGGTATAAAGGCCTTGCAAAGGTCACATGCCGCCAAGCCCGAAAAGGCTTTACAATACGATATAATCCAGATAAGCATTGGTCATCTGCCCTCTTCAGGGCCCTGGATGCTTTGCAGCTCAAAGACGGCACAGATATCATCAACATAAATCGAGATGACCAGGCTGGGTTTTGGTTAGATACCTTAGCCACCCACAACAAGCAAGCAACATTGTGCATAAAGGATAGTGTTCCACTCACCACCACGACAGACTATGTGAACAAATACCCGTCAACACTTCAAACGACTTCATACAACTTTTCTAGCACAGGCACAACAGCAGAGATATGTTCTGGCATTGTTAAGGCCATCCCACTTCATCAGAAGAATCCCGCACAACATACATTTTAGAGGTGGAGCCAGCATTTTTCAACCATATTACCGGAGAGAGAAAGAGTAAGGTTTGTGTTAGAGTGGAAGGAGGGCATGATGAAGGGCCGTCACACCAGGAGGTTCAATTTTGGTGGACTAACTACCACCTCGAAAAGTCATCTAAAGTGCTCATAGTAACCACTAGAGATAGTGGCTCCAGCAACTGAAACAGAGTGGAGTTGCAGAATGGATACCTGGCTCTCGGCCATAGCAATTTCTTTATCCCGTCGACTCTGAATGGTTCCTGTTTAGACTCCAAAACTGGTAAGATCGATGACAATAAACTTAACGGAGAATCTTAACGATGCGATTGATATTTACATCAGCAGGGTGAACAAATCCCCATGTGCGAACACCAAAATTCATCTTTATAAGGGAACAGATAGTTCATGTTATCAAACGCTGAGAGCATTCGTTAAGGTATTCCTTAAAGGAAACCCAGCCGAAAAAGCCAATTTGAAGAATGAACACCCAGGAAGGTATAATTAGATCGATGGAGTTTGGTCGTTACGAAATCATCACCTGATGTCTGGTATGCCATCCAAGTATGTTTTCCATCTATTTCTGTGCTACCAACCTAGTTGTATCCACCCCTCGTGCAAGTTAGGAGCACCACCTAAAGAGGAAACTTGGTATGAAGGAGGACCTCCACTGAGTTTCACTCCACTTCCTGTTGCAGACCCGAACAGGTAAAGAAACAGAAAACAACGCACAAGCTCTTTCTTGTTTCTGTAGACTTGTCGGCCTTTTTTTACCTACAATACTCGTCACAAATCTTGAAACACTTGTATCTATTTCCCCTTCCCCAATGTTGATTTGGGTATCACAGTGGTCTCAGTGCTTCAAAATACGCGTGGCTCAACATTGGGGAGGGAGAAGGCACATTTCAGGGGGGAAAACAGTGTGAAGTAAAAATCTCATGATTTTTCCGGAAAATTCGAGAGAAACGGTGTCTGTTTCAACGATTTGTGACGAGTATTGTCTTTGCGTCTGAAGGGCTTGGACGGGTAACGTAAACGTAGGAAGAGTAATTATTGTTGCCTGCAGTGGTTACGTGAGGAGTGTTCTTGTTCTGACTGTTCTAGATATCAAGTAGGAGTTATATAAAGAAGCTATGCAGACTTTTGAGTATAGCGATTTTAAGGTACTTTTATGGTAAAAGAGTTTAGTGAAACGGCTCCGCCTATTAGTACATTGCGATGGTGTTTAAAGGTATAATCGATAGCATGACTCGTGCACGTGCGTATTATCTTTGTCGGGTTAAAGGCCTATCTGTGCGAACAGTTGCCAGCATGTGCAAAATTTCTGCGGCCACTGTTTATAGAATTGCACATGAGAAAACTTATAACACGCGCACTTCAGAGGAGACGTGTAAAAGAGGTCGCAAGAACAAGTTAAGTGACCGCGACAAAAGACGACTGATACGATGCATTACAGTTTTGACGAAAAGAGAGGGGAACTTTACCTGAAAAGCACTGATGGAGGAAGCCGGAATTCAACAAAACGAAGTATCTGTAAGAACAGTTTCTCGTTTTCTCAATTCACAAAATTACTACTATCTGCAGACTCGCAGAAAGGGGCTCATGACAGCGGAAGACCACAGCAAAAGAGTTAAGTTTGCAAAGTACATGAAAGCCAACTACAGCCAGGAGATTTGGACAGACGGAATTGCCTTTTACCTCGATGGAACAGGATTTGTGTACAAAAGAAATCCACTAGATCAGGCTCGTCCACCAAAAGCTCATGTCTGGAGAAAGAAATCAGAGGGTTTGGCTCCGGGATGCATAGCAAAGGGCCGCAAAGAGGGAACTGGGGGCAAAGTATTACGACTGATAGTGGCAATTTCTTACAATAAAGGAGTTATCTGCTGTGAACCTTACGAGAAAATGAATGGTCGTTATTTCGCTGCGTTTATAGATAACCATTTTGATCGCCTATTCGCAGCCGCTGATAAAGGATGTAGCCGAACGTTTTTACAAGATGGGGATCCCTCTCAAAATTCGGCTTTAGCAAGGGAAGCGATGCAACGCACAAACAGTACCTTAATCAAACTGTGTCCAAGATCTCCGGATATGGCGGTCATTGTAAATGTGTTGCCCATGGTGAGTAGGATGTTAAAAGGACAAGCAGTGCAGCAACAACTACGCCGAGACACATTTGAACAGTTTAAGAATCGTGTTATCAATACATTTTACTCTATATCTGTCGAGACTGTGAACAATTTAATACGCTCTATGCCGAAAGGAATTGATATGGTGATTAGAAATAAGGGGAAGCGTATAAAATATTAAAGAAATACCCCTAATTGCATTCTGTGGATAATTGCGTGAGATTTCTTCTCGCAAAATGTAAAGTTTCAGAGACCATATCACTATCGCACTATTCGCCAAAAATAAGGAGGGAGGGGTGGTGTTCCATATTTCAAAACAGAACGGGGTGAAGATTGCTCCGATGGCCGTCAAGAGGACGTTTAGCGATTTTTACAAAGCAGAATGTTTTTTTGCGGTCATTTTATGAAATTGATTTGCTATTCATTGTGACATGATTTCTGCTGGAGCTCTAGGGAAAGAATAGTGAAGTACATAGCCGCTTAGTCCTCATCTATAATAACTACACAAAGGTGTCAAATGAACACGGAACCTTTTTTCTTCTTTTGCTATGATCTAAACAGTTCTATGTACAAAAAGAAGCTACCTTTGTAGAAAATTACATTATTAAAAGAGATCATTTGTTTAAGGACCTGTCGACCTTCTTAGCGCTGAAACACAACGATTCACCACTGTGTTCTAAAGTAAAGTAATTATAGTACCATAGACTTTAAGAACTATCGCTTCACCATGGTGAAGCCCTACAAATAGCCTTATTGAATAGCTTAATCAAGAAAATTATCCCTCAGGTGTATGTTCGGTGATCTGTTCTATCACTTGAAACACTTGTAGATGCAGTAGCTTTTGGTTTGCTTCCCTAAAAAAGGCAAATAATTTTCCAAACACCATGGTGAATCGTGTAACACTTAAACCACAGCAAAGATTACAAAATTTCAACAAACTCGGTGATATTTACATAAGATCAGTAGTCGTCTTGTGGGAAAATAAGTCGACTAAAACATTTTCCACACGGGGGACTGACTTCTACTGTTCCTCGGGTATTTGATGGAAGAGATTGAAGACTCGCCACCTTACCTTCATCATCTGAGTCTCTCTGTCATCAACAACACCGCCTCGTACATAACTAAGTTCATCCTTACTGGTACAAAATATGGGTGTATCTCCCTGGAACAGAATATCTTGTCGGTAGTGTGTTTTGGGGGCGGGTAGATGAACACTTTGGCCTTCAAGAAGCATTAAGAAGTCATGCCAGGGAATAATTTGGGCAGACCACCTAAAATCGTTGAGAAAAACTACTTCTGACTGTTCTGTGCCAACCCAAGCAAACGTTGTAGAGGCTGGATTACTGAATGTTTTGTAGATGGTGTTCAAAGGGTTTAGCAAAAATGTTTTCGCACAGTTACAGGGACCTTTCAAGTACACACTGCGATACTTTCCGCGCCCTTTGTCGAGAAGTATGGGAACGGCTTCTGCAAAGTCATCCCTCACAATAGAGTTCCGCTCTAACACTTCTTTTGCCATTTGCAACCACTGGCCGTCACATCCTGGCTCACACTCTCCTTCCAATTTACTGTACAAAACCTCAATTCTAGTCATTTTACTCCTTTGCAGCGTGCTCTCCGCGTTTTCTAATTCCCAGCCCACAGCTATCGCTTCATCCACTACCCGACTTCCACGATTCGCGATGAACTGCGCCAAGTCAAGTTTCCCCTCACTTTTTTGCTTTTGTGCTAACACCAGCAGCTCTAACCGAGTTTTATATATGCCATTTTTTGCCGCTATCTGCGATACATCATAAACCGATAAACTTTGGGAGGACTTGTTACGCTTCCTTCGTCCATTGGCAAGTCGAGTGTGCGTTTCCGTAGCCCTTGAAGTATTGGGTGCAGGGGTATTAGTCAAATAGGGATGGTTTTCAGACTGTAACTCTCGTCTTCCTTTGTGGTGTACTGCCACGCTGAATAATAATTGTTATGGCGAGCGCTGAAATTCACTTTCACTCTGTGTCGCTCATCAAGATAATTGCGTATTTTCAGCCAGCGTCGCCGTTCATTTAATTTCACTGCTATGTGATAATGAATGCCCCCATCCCTATGACGTTCTTGGCTGCACACCCACTGTACTATCTCACAACGCGTTAATGGGTCTGCATTGTCGAAACTATCCAACACCAGCTGAACAAAACTTTCTCGATTAGGAACTATCTCTTCGTTCGCTCGGTTGTATGTGATTAGATAAATACTCCGAACTTGACGTGACCCCAGCGCCTCCGATTGCTCAGTAGCATCATCACCTGCTACACCGCTTTCTGTCAGGGTGCTTAAGTCTAACACTTCACTACTTGTCGCGTCACAGTTTGCCATTTCACTACACGATTCCGCGTTTCTTCAACAGGAAAGACATTTAGCAACAGACATGCCCTTATTTCTCGCGCTGAGAAAATCTAATTAGCTTGGGTAAATATTATTTTCCCTTTTGAAAAGTTGGAATATATGTCTTTAGAAAGTGAAATATAATCAGCGACCTCACATTTTCCCGCATGTCTTAACCCATTCGCCCCTGAACCGCCCGTAACCGCCCGTGTACGACAACCCCCGAATTCCCTGAACCGCCCGTAAAAATGGCCGCTGGATTCAGTCCATTCCCCTCTCCTCCCGGGTGTTTTTTTGTCTTTTGTTTTCACAGAGTGATTGATGGATAATAAACCAATCATTTGCCATCTTTTGCGCATTTTTTGACAGATGATGAGAAGCACCACAGGGTCGGGTTTTTCGAAGAGCACGAGTAAAAGAAATTCGCGAGAGTAATGGCCGCCCGTGTCGATTTCGAATCAAAGTTCGCATCACGTTTGAGGGAATATAGAGATAATTCGACTCTTGATCACTTCAGGTTGTTGAACAGACCTTGTGAAAAACCTTCTGATTGAGATTTAAACGATCTTAAGACTGAAAAAGACAATCCTAGCCCTCAAATTGCCGAGCGCTTCGTAGGTAAACAAACCGCATGGACTATCGATGAAAACTTACCTCGTTCATTTCATTTACTTGCATCCAAGTACCGTGTTCCTCGCAGCAAATGTTTTAAATGTAACTGTTTCTTGAACTGCTGAAGGTGATGCTTTTGTAGAGTTAAAAGTTTGAACAAGGAAACGGATTATGTGCGACGATCGATTTGGATTGACAATCCCCATGAATAAAATTTACTTCACATCGCGCGGAAGCTCACGGAGAATAAACGGTAACCGTCTTTTTATTCAATTATTTACAGTTGCCAAATGATGCTTTTTGTGTGCTTATTTTCTTTTTTTATAACTATTAACACCTATCGATCTGTGCATTGGTAGATAAAGCATTAATAAAGCAAGTTTGGCATTTAACTTATTTGTGCTTTACTTTGTTGATCGGACATGATCGGGGAGGCACTTCAGTTCAGGATATCAAATACGCTTCCCTGAAAGATTGCGGCTTTGTCACCTTCTCTGGTGAAAGCGATCATTTATTTTATTGTTGACATTCAAGAATCGAAAAATATATGAAAGAGTGGGAAGCTGAAGTCCAGCATTCCCTTGTTTTATTAAACTTTCCCATGCTTGATGATGTGGAACTCTTCAGATCGCTCTTCGTGAAGTGATCATCACCGAAGTTTCACTACATTTTTCTACGGTGCTTCTCGACTGGACTGATCTGAAAGAGAACTTAATGAAACAACTTTCAGTAAAATGACTT